CTTCTTCTATAATAAAGACGCAACCTTCTCCCAGTTTCAAAAAATGAAAGCTGTCGATCCACACGACAAGGCTATGACACGCAACGGAGCGTTCTTTGTCCACGAGGAACAGGCGGCGGCCATTCTCAAGGATGCAGAGGCGGAAGCTCCCGCAGAGGTACGTGTCCTATAAGAGCCTGTGCGCATGAGCTCACGCATTACAGGAATCCACATGCAACAAGTTCGGGGCCATGGGATATCAGCGCTATGCTGGTACTGTTTCTGGACTCCTCGCAATGACATGCTCCCGACACATGATGACGATGAGAAACAGTGTTGTCGACCTGACCAAAGGTGAAGCGTAAGTCCTCATCCGATTGCAGATCGGTCCACAATGTTCATAATAGAAACAGGTTCAAGTACGCAGACCTCAGTGAAGCCAGTGCGATCAAGCCGTACCTCACCCTCCCGATGCTCATCTCCGGCTATGACATCAATTGTCAATATCACCGGAACTATGACACGCGGATGGACAAGCTCATGTCTACCTGGTCGGAGCTCATGGAGTGCCTCCCCAGCGTCGCCGAGTGGGAGAAACTTCCTTACATGCTTATCGCCGTTGGCAAGTTCCACCTACCTGCCCACCAAGCCAGCTGTCGCTACAAGTTCTCTTACAACTACCTCCCCGGCGCTGCACGTACCGATGGTGAAGCGTCTGAACGGATGTGGGCTGCTATATACCAGCTAGCCACACGAATACAGGAGATGGGACCAGGATCTCGTCACGATGCGCTGAACGACATCTGGAACGACCAGAACGTCCGTCATTTGCACACAATGAGTATGTCTTGATAGGTTCTTCGGTCATTGTGCACTGACCGTCGATGAAGGTCGGGACCTCTCTGCAAGGTACAACACCAGTGAAGAGTTTATTGCAGACCTCGAGCGCCATCTTACAGCTCTCGAGGCCACGTTCAGTCCCGAACGGCTTGCACAGCTCAAGGAGCAAGAGGCTGCGTTCAAACTCGCAGTAGTGGACATGGCGAATCACGACAGCCTTGAGAACATTTACGATATCAATATCGAGCAGGGTGCGTGCGTCTTCAAGCTTGTGATAGTGATGAGTATGAACGAGTGCATACCCCATCAGTGACGGATGCAAAGGATGCGACCAAAAGCCAGAAGGCGCGCAAGGCGTCGTCAACAACCCGTCGGGAGGAAAAGATTATGCAAGCCCTCGACGAGGGTGCTCGCCTTCAGGTAGAACGGTAGGTTTCTCATATACTCTCCGCTTTCATGTACTCAAACGATGTGCAGTGAAAAACTCCTCAAAGCGCTCATGCTCAAGGGCAGGGTCCCGTCTAGTGTTGTGGATCAGCAAGCCGACTTTCTCAAGCGATATGCGGAGTGGTCCCCACTCTGGGACGCCCACATTCAGCCCGCACTACAAGATGCAGCCTTGATGATCTCCGAAGAGGATGCCCCAAGACCAACTTCCCGCGACTGTCTGAAGCTGCCTGGAAGGCCCCACGCGCCAAGCGCAAGGCCTCTTTGTGGAAAGAGGTCTACAATGCCGATATCGCGCTTCCCTCTTCGTTCCATGAAGCGGTACTGAAGGAGACCCCAGCTGTGCCTCTTGTGGAAGCGGAGATTAAGATTCGACGAGATGAGGCCCGGGAAGCGCTCGACGAGGTCCGCACTGCACTGATCCTCTCGTTCTCTGTGAAACTTAGCAAAAAGCATGCACGGAGCAAGAGGGTGCGCACAGAGATCTCCTCTACCCTCGGATCGGCTCGCGGCGACGTGCAGGCGGCAGCACACAAGTACCGAAGGGTCGTCAAATGCCTCCTCCGTCTAGGCGTGCCACCGGATGACCCCGCAGTCCATCCGCTCGAAGAAACCGATCTCAAGGCGATGGTCATTTCGGCTCAGGGGGACCAGTCGTGGATCTGGGACAGTCTTTCAGTTGTCGACAAGGCTGGGACGGCCGCACATCAGCGGTACAAGGACCAGAGTGAGTACCCTGCCTGGATACACTACTTCAGCTGAGGTCGGGTTCACAGTCGAGAGCGTCCACTGGTTCCGCATACATGCGATGCTCACGAGGTGGCGGGAGGAGCGCAAGCTGTTGCGGCGTGAGATGTGGAGAACCGCGGTGTTCTTCGGCTTTTTCAGGCAGCATTGGTTGCAAAATGCGGAACTGCATGAACACTCCCGCGAACGAGGCAAGGCCGCATACGCCAAAAAGTAAGTGCTCCCTCCAGCATCATCAACGTCACTGAATGTCTGTCAGGCAAGCGCATAGGTATCTTGTATTGTTCGACGGCTGCAAGAAGGCTTACATGTGCCTGAAGACGCCGTTCGTGCGTCATATCTTCCACCTCCCAAAAATCGACTCATCCTTTTCACCAGACGAAATCGGACTGGAACACCGCCCTCGGACTTCCCGACCTCGACATGGACTAGTAGAGGTTTCCTCATCTCGCATCTCACCCATTCCAAGTCACTCCCGTTCACTTCCGTGCTCCTGCTTCTTTATCTGCCGCCTCGTCATCTGCGCTTCCTCCATCCACCGGCTCCTCAATGCACCGAAGTCGCTTCGCGCGGTCTCGCACCATTCTCCTAGTCCTGGGCTCGGGGGAGAGGACCATCCAAATGTCCATAGTCGTCGACATCCCGACGCCCTCTTGCAGCGGCTACAACACCCCTTGGATTGCCCACGCCATCCCCTATACCCCGGCCGACATTCCTGGCGCCTCGCTCACAGCTCGCCATGCTTACGCGTACGCCGATGCGGAGGTTTCAAAGGGGGCCTTTCCCAAACCCGAACAATGTCTCGGCTCCTACGGCTACCGTCTGTAGTAAGACCATATCGTCTCTCTCTCGTCCGTTGTACACCATGTCCTCTTACCTCTGTACTCACAATATAGTATATACGCCCCTCTTCTTCTACATCCTTATGCCATACTTATCACCTCATAGATGATACTGCTCCGGAAGGTGCCACCGCTCAGTTTCACGGAGTGGCGCCTCTCGTGCGCCGCACGGACTCTCGCACGCCGCACGGACTACCACAACGGGCTCACACGCGCCACACGGACTCTCGTGACGGGCTCGCGTGCGCCGCACGGACTATCACGACGGGCTCACGCGTGCCACATGGACTCTCGCGACGGGCTCGCGCGCGCCACACGGACTATTGCGTGCACGAGATCGCGAGAGTGCCTGTGTTCCCCACTTAACACGCTTTGTCTGGTTGCGCATGTCTCTCCTGCATGTACATTACTTTGGCTCAGCTTTGTCAAATATACTACTTTTCATTTGTCATTCACGCGTGGCCCGCGACCCTCACGCAAGCCCTCGCACCTACCGCACAAAGCCATGATACGTGCGCGCGTGGTGCCCTCGCACTGCATCCTTCGCACGCACAAAGTCTCGCGCCTGCTGTCCACTCTACACCCATGCACACGCTGTGGGAGCCGCGAGCGGAGCTACGTCTTTGTACGCATTATCTTGATATCCTCTATATCTACATGCAGCCCCAGCGTGCATGGTCTACTGTGCGCGTACATCGTGTGCTTCGACTTTCAATTCATGGAATCCACACGCAAGTCTGTTCTTTCGGGTGCGCTACTCTCTTTAAAGTGTTGTGCCATATGATGAACGAATTGAGCGTATTTCTCGCATGCATATGGCACCCCTCTCATGTGTTGTGGCCGCGTTCTGTGGAGCATTCAAAGGCTTGAGCCATGTATAAGGTGGTATAACCTGTAAACAGCCACCCATATGAAAAGGACTATGGTGTAGTGGTGTAGATTACTAGCTACAACTGTGTAGGCCGTGGGTTCGACTCCCGCGCCTCCATTGTTTCGGGCGCTTGTAGCATTTACGGGCTCCCACGCAATGGGCGCTTATTCCGGGTGCATCTGGCCCTGCCGATAAGCTGTCACAACAGTTGTAACAGGGAAATCACTGCTGCTCGTGCAGGAAGAATTTACGATAACAGAGCTTCCTCCCGGAGAATCACCGTCCGTAGGAGGCGGCCCGCGCGCCAATTCCCGTCCTCGCGCGCCACGGCCCCTGATGGGCCACCCGCCGTCGCTTGCGGCTCGCCAAGCGCCGCCACCATTCCCGGCGGCAACGCTCGTCCCCCGGAACCCCGCGGTGAGACGATGGAGGGCCCTCTGCGCTCTGCGCTCGTCGCGCGCGGTAGAGGGGAGAGGGGGTCGTCACGTCACGTTGCAGCCGCGCGACGGCACGAGCGGGGTTGGAGCCTTTCTCGTCGCCGCGTGGCGGAGCGGGTGGATTCGACGGCCGCAGCGGAGGTCGAAGCGGGCGTGGAAGCGTCGAGTCGCGACTTGGGAGGGCCTGTGAGGGCCGTAGAAGGCGGGCGCGAGACTCGGGCTAGGGAATTTGGGCGCAGTGGACAAAGACACGCGAGCATGGGGGCGGGGCAGGCGGACGGACGGATGGACGGACGAGGGCTCAGTGTACGACGTGCGGCGAATCCCCGTTCTCTCTCTCTCTCTCTCATTTGGGGGGGAGACACGCGGGGCGGGGTGACGAGGACATGCGGTGGTGCGACGCGGGGGCAGCAGTCCAAGTGTTCCCAAGCGCAGCCGTTGAGTGCTCGCAGTGTGGGCGATGGTCGGTGTAGTACTAGCCGATATGCGGACTCCTCGCGGACATAGTACAGCAAACTGATTGATATCATGCTTAAACGCAGATCGTCAATACGGATGGACGGCCAGCTGACCGACTGGGTGCTGACCGACTGGGTGTAGGCTACGTGAACAGGGAACAGGAAGACGAGCTAATGAAACCGGGGGACGATCATGGACAAGTAAGGTAGGTGAAGAGCGTCTGAACTGAGGCTGGAAAGACGGATCAGGGCCACGACTCGCGAGGCAGGCATCCGCTGCTCTGCACCCCGCGTGCAGACCAACGACAGGCCGCGCGACGCACAATACTGTCGCCGCGCACCCCAGGTAGGTCGTGGTCGTGGAGGTCGTAAATGCCATCTACATGGCAGCAGCGAAGAAGGAGTCCATGTCGAAGTCCGTCTCGGACTCGACAGCTTTGACTCCAGCGAGGTCGCTGCCAGAGGGGTCCGACGTGCCCTCTGCAAAAGAGTTGGTGATGTTGAAGTTGCAGAAGTCGAAGCTGAAGTCGAAGTCGAAGTCGAAGTCGAAGTTGAAGTCTGTGGTAGCGGCCGTGACTCCAACGAGGTCGCTGGCGAGGTTCAATGGGCCGGACGCACTCACAGCACCATCCTCATCGTCCTCGTTGCCGTCCTCATCGTCCTCCTCATCCTCAACTTCCTGGGCAGCCGCAAGTTCGGCTTCGATCTCCTCCCACTCCCTCATGGCGGCCCACTCTGCAGCGACGTCGGGACGATCGGTGAGCAGCTGCAGCCATGCTGACGCGATCCTGCTCGGTGTCTTGAGAGTGACGACCTCGTTGCGCCGGACGTACGTGAAGTACCGCGCCTCCCTGGGCGCTTTCTTCTCCACACCCGCGTCCGCTCGAGCGAGGTTGCCTCCGTAGAACTTGAGGGCCTGCTCAACGAGAGCGGAGTGATCGGCCTGTTGGGCGAGGCGGCGCACCTGTAGGTCATTCGCAATGCGCTGTTGAGGGTGCCGGGTCCCGTCTGGGTCAGAGTGGGCTGCCCAGAATGTGTCATCATCGGGGAAGGACTCGCGCTCCGCTACTATGAACTGTTGGATGACGACATGAGTGCCCACGACGCGACGGGCTACACCATGCGGTATGTGCAACAGAGTTCCACTCACCTTCCACATCCCCCACTTCTGCTTGAGCACCTTCCAGCCCTTCCGGACACCGACCAACGACTGGAAGAAGAACGGCCAGCTCTTGATGGGTATCGCGCGCCCATTGACGACCAGGTGCGAGGACTCGTGCCAATCTTTGAAGAGAGCTGACAGGTTGCGTGCGTACGAGATGCTGGCTGGGTTCCGGACCGTGCGCTTGTCGAACGGGAAGGTCTCCCCAGTGTCGAGTGTAAAGAAGCGCAGGTGCTCGTGGGGGATATCGTCTTCAGACTGAATCGCCGGCGGAGACGTGTGTTGTGTGTCGGGAGCTCTTGGCTGTGTTGGTACTGAGCCTCTTGCGGCGGCGACGGAGGCCGATGGCACTATCATGCGTGGAGCGGCATTGGCAGAGACTGTGCCCAATGAGACGGCGAGAGTCAGGCCCCCCGGGATGGGAGCGCGAGGATCTGGTACGGCGGCTGGGGGGAGCGTGAGCGGAGGAGATGGAAGGAGGAGGAGGAGGAGGAGGAGGGCAAGCTCACCCACGTGCGAGAATCCGTTCTCATTTCGGCAGGATCTCGCGCGGTGGCTGGAGCCGCCGTCTGCGTCGTCCGAGGCCGCGTGCGATATCTGCACGGCACTCATCCCCATCCTCAATGCGGCGACCTCGCTCCGGACCCCCTGCAGCTCGCTATGAAGCATCTGAATGCCCGCGACCTCCCCAGGATACGGCGCAACAGCAGCCACCGTCCCACACCCCCGCATCGGGGCACCCTCCTCCACCGCCGCGGCGTCCGAAACTACACCGTGACCACCATGGCGGCATCCCTCGTGAGTTGCACTTTGTGCTGATGGTCCGTGCCTGGTCTTGAACGGCTGCCCTTCCATCAGCAGCACATCGTGGACCTGCGAAAACACGCCGCGGGCGGCGGGACATCAGCCTCTGCAGCTCACCATCGCCACCGCTCTACTGTCTCTATTTCGGAAAAAAACAAATATCACTCACCCAGCTATTGTTATTCCGGATGACTGCAGGCGCGAGAGCGGGTGGGCTTTGAAGATCACGAGCAGTGGGGATGGTCCTAGGGTTGAACTTGTGAGTTTCCTTGGCCGACTCTCCAAATGTCCCCTTGATCATCTTGTCGATGCCGCTCTTTGCAGCCCGCTTCTTTGAGATGTTCCCCCGCGCGCTCTTCCCTGAGACCGACTGCAGAAGCTTCGCGGCCCACTGCTCCGGATGTGCGGCAAACTCGCGCAGTCGATTGAGCAGCTCCGCCTTCTTCTTTGGATAGGCCGGCAAGAGGTAGTCCCTCAAGAGCTGAGTGATTTTTTTAACGGTGAGATTCGACCTGAAGATATATTGTGAGTAAACCCCATCAAAATCGCCGAGCTGCTGGTCTGAGCTCACACCGCGACATCAAAGGTCTTGAACGCCTCAATGCTGGGATCCATTGCTTGCCGGACGTCCGGCAACTTCAAGATCTCACCTGTACAGGAGCGACCAGCCATGATGGTGCGGGATGGGCAAAGCAACAGAAAACAGGCGGTGGGGATAGGATAGCGGTCGACAAGTTGTGCGTAGAGCGCTCGCTGCTCCGAGCTCCGTACCCCTCAACATTGGCGAGACTCCGCTTGCCAGTGAGACGCAAACGTGACAGGGTCGGACCCCTGGGAATACGCGGCCCTGTGCGGGGGATTCATAGCATGTCTTGACAAGTCCGAGCAACCTTGCGTCGGTGCGTGCGTCTATCTCCTCCTCCTCACCTTCGCCCAGGCTGAACCCTTACCTCCGTTCAAGCACGAACCCCCACCCCAGCCATGCCTCAGCCTGCAACACCTCCCGTTCTTGCCAACTACCACTGTGTCCGTGCCTTGCAGGACGACGGAGACGGAGACGCCGATATTGAAGCTGACAACGACGCGCCGCAGGACGACGACTTCGTGCCCACGCCCGCGCCTGATCCTGTGAGGCAGAGGATCCGCCTCGACATAAACGATGTGCAGATGCAAGTGCATAGAGCGTCTAAGGACGTGATCACGGAGGGCACTGCTCACGACTATGTCCGGTATGTGCATCGTCATTCCGGTAGTGGTGATGCTCCAACTGATCACACATCCTCTCACAGGCTTTGGGCTCAGTTCACTAACGACTTCTGCATCAAGACCGCCGGGTTCATCACTCCGGAGCAGAACTGCAACGAGTTCTGGAAGTCCCCACCTGAGGAGGTAGACGTGTGGCTCGCCGCGTGGTTGATGTCAAAGTAAGTTCTATCTCCTTCCTTGTGGTCTCTTCCTCACCTCGTGCGTGGCATGACCTCAGGGCGGATGACGTCGATCTGCGCACTGGGGAGATGAAAGGTCCGGAGGTAGCCCGAGTTACATACAGCTACGTGCAGAAGATGCGAGCAGCAGCTAGCCACTTTTTCGTGCGCGTTTACAAGCTCGGTGGCGCAACGGAGGAGTGGTCTGAGGACCCGCGCAGACCCGGTCGCTGGCGAGGCAACCCGTGCATGTCGCAGACGGTCGTCCAGTACATGGCCAGCCTCAAACGTCGCATGGTGCGTGCAGAGCCAGTCATCGGTCTCCCGTTCGGGCTGTTCCTAATCACATACTTATGTGCATCAGACCCGCAACGGCGCCGAAGTGATCAGCGCACAAGCGATAGATGAGAGCATGCTAAAGAAGCTCTATGAGCAGAACAAGAATTACCCGATTGAGGACGACCTGATTACGAAGACACGCAAGCGCAAGGCGGACGAACTGGACTCCGAGCTCGGTCTCTGGGCTGGGTACAAGCTGCGGACGATGATCCAGGCACTGTACATAGTCTCGTTCATCTGCCTGCTGCGGTACGACGAGGCCCTCCGCATCCAGTTCAACCATATTGAGCTTGCCTACGACGAGGACGAGCCTGTGGTGATCCTTCGGCTCCCCTTCCGCAAGACCCATCAGACCGGAGGTGAGCAGTTGACAAGGTGTCAACAAGGGCAGCGTACTGACTCCACATGGCGGACAGGCATCCTCCCGTTCTACCTGTGGCGCAACCCGGAGAAGCCATGGTTGTGTCCAGTCACCGCAATTGCAAAGTGGTACGCTCTGTTCAACCACATGAACTACGAGCCTCGCGGCTACGTTTTCCGGTCCCGGAGCGGCTACGACCAGATTGCCAGCAGCCCAACAGACGGCTTGGTGAGTGCACCCAGTAGTAGCACTGGCATCACTGGGGCTGTCACTCATCTCTCCGATTTGATAGAGTTCGGCCGCATTCATGACGATCTTCCGCTGCAACCTGTTCGAAATCGGCAAGGACCCACGCCCGTTCGGCACACACTCATTCCGCCGTGGTGGTTGCCAGTACCTGGCAATGGTTCGCCGCTGGCACATCCGCGACGTCTGCCTGTGGGGCGGGTGGAGCACTCGGAGTGACAACCCGAGCACGGTGTGGAAGTACCTTAGCTCCATCGTGGACACTCCAAACGTCCAGCGCCAGGACTTCTTCAACCCGTACCGCCTCGGGACCGCACCATGCACCCATTGCCGCCGCACCTGCCACTGCGCTTGAGTTAGCCACGAAAATTCACTGATCTACCGACAGGGTTATGCGGAGGTCTAAGGAGGAGGGCGGCAGCGTCGAGGGGCTTCATCAGACACATAGTACAATGTAACACATAAGCTGATGTACAAAATTGTCATGATCACTTCATAGGTCGGTAATACATGGGAGCAGGGGACATAACTATGAAAACGCGCACTCTAATCATCAAAAGTCAAATCGATCACACCATTAGGCGTTTCTGCGCGCCAGATCGCCTCAATCGCAGCTCTTACATCCGCAAAGCCTGCAGACGATGAACCCGACGTTACAGCAGTCGGGGTCGGTTCCTCGTGCGGCACCGGCAAGCTGAACGATGGGGTCATGAAATCAGTACAGAAGAGACAGTGGCAAGAGCGCAACCACTTACTTTGCATAAGCCGCATTGCCGTAGTTCACCCCGATCTCATAGAACTGTGGGTTCACGAGAAGCGGGCGAGCCCGCTCAATGATAAGCGCAGGGATCTTGAACACTAACGGGAGCTCCGCACGCGCTAAAACAGCGGCCTCGGTTCATCAGTAAATCGCGTAGTGCACTTGGGGCCCTTGATAAGCGCGCCAAGGACGGATAAGGCTACTTAAGATCTTAAGGGCACTCAGGACCAAGACCAGCTTAAGGACAACTCGTCAAGGGCCATTAAGGACAGTCGAAGGCGGCAGATTGAACACACAGGGAGGCAACCAAACATGCATATCCAATTAATGATGGTAGAACCCCCGTCCACGCTCGCGATCCCAGTGCTCTCCCATCTCCCATCCGGGGCTCGCGCCGCGCCCGCCTCCGCAACACCTGCCGTGTTCAGCACCCTGTCCACGGTCCCGATCCCACCAGTAGACGACCCTGAGCGCGACGTGCGCAGCCGCGCGCTGCCGCTCGTCCTTGTCGCCCATGCCCACGATCTCGTCCTTCATGCCCTGCAACACGCTGAACACGCACGAGAAGTTCCACGAACGACTCTTCGCCGTGGTCCGTGTCGAGGGAGAAGCTTGCCGTTGCTTCGCTGTCGATGGGTGCGGCTTCGTTGCGCTAGCTGTGGGTGCAGACGTTGAGGCGAGGAGGGCGAGGTCACCTGGGGCAGGTGCGAATGCTCCTGTGGGCGCGAGGTCTCCGTGCAGCTGGGGTCCCGCCCTTGTCAGCGTGTCATCGTCTTTGTCGTTGTCTTCCAGCGCGCCATACGTCCCACTCGCGACGCTCATGCTGTCGTTCCCATCCCCGGAGTCGGGAACGGACCCGAGCAAGCGGTACGACGCCCCGGTGGGCATCGGCGTCACCCGGCCGTCGTCGTACCGGTCGTCGAGCAGGTGGTCCGCGCCGATGGCAAAGTCGTTGTCGAAGATGTCCGAGCCACTGTCTGAGCCCGTGCGCGGGAAGGGCGAGGGGATGTGGATGTCGGGGAACACCACGTTGCGCGAGCGGACAAGGACGCAAGCATGTCCTCCGACCATGGCGGACACGGGCGCGCTCTCGTCCCACGTCTGCGCCTCTGCATCCATTGCGACCTCGTTCTTCTGCTCATCCGCGTGCTGTTGTCCCTCGTGCTGATGCTCTTGCGCCTTGGCCTTTTCGTCTCGCCCAACTTGTGCCCCGTCGTTGCTTCCCCGGTGTCGCGCCAGCGCTGGGGCTCCTTCATCTCGCGTTGTATCCGGCTCTTGCGCTTTGCCGCGTGCCCCGCATCCACCTTGTCCGCGTCCAGGCCGGTGCCGGGGCGCGCGCACAGCGTGTCGGGGATGAATCATGAGCGCATAGAGACCCTTGCTAGCCTCTTCGAGCGCCCAGCCGATGAGGTCGCGCGCGCGACTTGCGCTGGCGCGTCACCACAGACTGAATGAGCGAGGGCCACATGGTTGCGCCCATCGCGTCGATGACATGCAGAAGGCCAGGTATTCCTGTAGGGCGAGATGAGTCAACGGTCACCTTGGGCATGCGGGGGATGGGGATGGGGAAGGGAGAGACAACAGAGAGAGAAAGGGAGACACACCGGTGTCCTCATCAAACGAGCGCTGGTCCTTGCCCTGCATCGGTCGCCGCCACGCCTGCACGCCCTAGACGAACTCGAGTGCAAGGACAGGAAATCGTCCATCCTGTCCTCGTCCTCGTCTGCGTCCGCGTCCGCACCCGCCGGTAGCGGGGCCGCCGCATCGGACACATCGGCACCATCAAAGCAGACAGTGAGTGCGACCTCAGGATTGTAGGCCCGGATTTTGTTCGCAATCGTGGGGATGTGTTCTTTACACGGCAGGTCTCTGAGAAGGCGCGTGAGCGTTGAGCGTTGGTGAACCCCGAGCGCAAGGAGGGTAAGGGCACGCGAGAGAAGGGTGCAGGACTCACCTCGCTGGCGCCCCAGACGTAGATGACGGCGAGGATGCCGATGGCGTCCAGCATCCAGAAGCGGTTGACGTTGTACGTCTCGGAGTAGACCTCAGCGGTGTAGTACCGGTTTGCGACCATCCACGGGATGCTCGTGCGGGGAGGAGGTAGGGGAGCAAGGCTGTCGGCGCGATGAGGGGCAGTCGTGGAGAATGAATGGGCAAGACGCACCTGTCTTTCTGAAGACCTCACACGGACGTTTGTGGGGCACTTTGGAGTTGAACGCGTAGGCCGGCATGAAGAACTTTCGAGGCTGAGGTACCGGTCTGCTCATGACGGTGTTCAGCATCCACAGGGCGTGAGCACACAGGGAGATGGGCGAAGCAAGGGAGAGGAGAGAAGAGAACAAGACGCACTTGTGGATTGGCACCGTGGATGAAAAAAGGGTCCATTGCAAGTGACACTGTGTGGAGGACGTGACAGATGCAGATTGAGAATGAGGGAAAAGACGGTAGAAGAAGATCAAGTGTGTGATGAAGAGGTCAAGGGGCGAAGTTGAGAGAAACAGAGGCAGAGTCAGTCTCGGAGAGAGCGATGTGCACGGCCGACGCGTGAGAAATTGAACTTTCAAAATTTCAACACAGCTGGCTGCGGCGAAGGTGGTGTGCACATCTCTCCCCGCCCCCCCCGCCCACCCCCCGGACCCATTGCAATGCCCGCGAACGCTTCATCAACCACCTCAACTCGCCGATCAACAACAATGCAGTGGATCTTCGCGGGCCAGCACTAGTGCGTATTTTCGACTGCTTTACTACCCAATTCTTCACTGAGCACAGTCCACTGCCCTTCTATGAAGATCTCAAGTCTGCCAGGGCCCAGAGTGCACCGCAACGCTCGGCGCATGGCATGCAACGTCACCGTGATCATCCACAGTGAGTCTGCCTCGCTCTGCTGTGCACACTCTGGTTCTCTACATCCCCTCGCGCGCAGCCGGCTGCTTGAGCAAACGGCTCACGACCTCTACAGGAGTTCACGAAGCGCGGGCGCCATGTGAGCAATGCGGAGGAGGAGGAGGAGGAGGAGGAGGAGGAGGAGGAGGAGCTTTGGCTGCCTGTGCTCGTTGTCACGCCACCCGTGCAAGGGCTCGAGGATATGTTCATCGCTGAGGGGCATCTGTGGTGAGTACTTCCGCTTCCACAGCACACTCACGTATTTATCTCTGCACCTCCGCTGCGCACTAGCGAGCGACTCTTTCCTCGTATCGTGCACATCAAGAAGGAGACCGAACACGAGTCCTTGCCATCACCTACTGCCCCCAATGTGCACGGTCGGCAGTAGTAGCTGCACCATATCCGTCAACATTGTCAACGCCTCCCAGCCTGCGCAGACAGATCCTCCTTCAACCGCCACTGTCACCGTCTGTGCCCGCACAGGAAGGCTCACGTCCACCACGCCCGTGCAGCCCTCGTCGCTCATCGGCTTTGCGCGCTGCCGGACGACCCCCACGCTCGGGGATGGGAAGGGCAAACTACCATCTCCGTGTCGGCTCAATCTCAACCACCGCTGGTGGGGTGGTCCCCTCCAACCACGATAATACCGAGCGCAACCACGTTGGTGCCGCTCATGCCGTTGACGCTTGCGCGGCCGCTGTACGCGTGCGAGAAGTCGGCTTTCCGCATGCCGTTTGAGGCGTTGTATAACATCCTCGCGTCGGACACACGCACGTTTGAGGACCGACGGCGCGAGCAGCTGCAGAAGTCGGCCATGCTCACGCAGGCACTGCAGCGTCAGCGGGAGCACATCGACGAGCTCACCGCCGCCGCGGTCAAGTGCTGGCTGGGGCCCCTTCCGCTTCGTCCCCAGCGTTCTCTGACACGTCTCGTCTCGTAGATAGATCTGTGCGCGCGCGCAGCTTGTAGTTACGCTTGCGATAATTACAATCTACAACTTCCATAGTATGACGTTGGCCAACTGTTGGCCGCTCCACGAGTCCGACACGCATCCGGGAACTTGGGCCCTTGCGGCCCTTGAGCACCTTGGGCAAGGTCCACAAGCGCCGCAAGGGCCCAAGTTCCCGGCGCTTTTACTGATGTTTGGTTCTTGCGCGTTGGACGGAATGTTCGAAGGGCTCTCAGCGCACTCGTTGCAGCATCGTGGAATCCGGTGTCGTGGATCCTCACAGTGGCAAGAGCGTAGCCGAAGAACGGCGGACCAGCGACTTCGAGAACCTCAAAATTGAGGAGGCTACGGGGTGGCTATAATCAAGGAATCAACGTGTCAGCTCGATCTTACGGCTAAACACATTGAACAGCTCACCGGTTCAATAGCATGGCCGAGTTTCACCAGCCCTTCAGCTACCAACATACTGACTAACTCCCCAGGCCATAGCGCGGTGCGGAATGTGTCCTTGATGCCGGTGGAGCTTCCAAAGCTGAAGTGGAGCTCGCAGAGATGGCCGAGCCGCGCAAGATCCATAGGTCGCGGTCCAGGGATCGCCTCATAGCGCTCAACGGGAGAGACGAGAGGGTGTAGGAATAGTCTGGCCACGTAAAGGTCGGGGAAAGCGTCAGTTATGTTCTCGGCCAGCGCGGGGTGTTTGCGCTTGAAGTTCGTGGAGCCGGCCTTGAGCGCGCACTTCACGCGGTATCTCCAGCCCGCAAGAAACACTGCCAGCTTGTGGTCGTTGTTATCTGGGTACCTGAGCAGGGCTTCGTACAGGATTTGGCCAAAGCCGCACTTGACTATTTCGAGGGCGACGGCCTGTCCGCATCCTTTGAGACCGTCCTGCAAGAATCCCCACATAAGAGTCAGCCGATGTCAACGCGGCGACCGAAACAACTCAGAGGCTTACATGATAGTCATTACCAACCAACAGAGCGTAGAGCAGCATGTCGCCCTGGGTCAGGTCAGCCTTGCTCTCAATGTCGGTAGCTCGGTAGACCCGAACGTGGTCAGAGCAGTCTCTCTTGTAGTTAACCGGGCTAGAGGGAGTGCAGGGTGAGCTCCAATGCTTAGGCGAGGTAGCGGACCGAAAGACGTACTTGCGCATTACCACGGGTGCACCCAGCACGAGCACATCGCTGTCATCTGTCAAGACGACGTCGACAAAGCCCGTCTTGTTCATGTGGGCAAGTTCAGCTTCGGCCTCTCCGGGAGCCTATGACAGCGGATCATCATGAGCGAGACTTGTAAGGGAGGAGCTTCAATGGAAACATACCTCAATCCAAGCGAAGCCGCAGGCGACCACGAAGTCCTCCAAGATCCTCTGGAGCCACAGTGGAGTAGTCCGCACCTGCGTACCACGTTTGACCGACGGTCTATCAGCGCCATCCGCCACAAAGACAACGTGGGCGGTGCGTCCTCTGAGCCAGGCGAGGCGATAGAAGAACGCGCGCAGCTCGGGATTCTCTCCAGTCTGCGCGTGCCCGAGTTTGAAGGCAGCCTGCAGCTGCCGCATCCAGATG